AATTTAGTTGTAATTATTTGAAACTCCAGTTAATGTCCGAGAATACAATTTATTACAAGAGACACGAAAAAGCACAGTCACGTCAAATTGTTTATCTATCTCCAAGACTCTCTTTTTTCTTTTAGTTGTCCAGCATCGGGACATGCGCAGTCGCGGACATGTCATATAGATAAACAATTTGACGTGACTGTGCTTTTTCGTGTCTTTTGTAATAAATTGTATTCTCGGACATTAACTGGAGTTTCAAATAAATACAACTAAATTCCACAACAAATTGGTGCTGCGGACAAGATGAACCTATAAGAAAATGTCGTTAGAACAAATACTTCAAGCGTTAACAACAACTGCGCAAAAACAACAGCAGCTTCTGCATCAGATCAATGATTCGCAAAGGAAACTTGCAGAGACTATAACGCTCCAGGCACAAGGTAGAATCGGCGAAAATGCACTTCCGCCTGCAAAATCATCACAATTTTCAAATCTTGCGGCATGACTTGGTAAGTTCATTCATGATCCTACGAGGGGCAAAACCTTCACGTTATGGTACGAACGTCATGAAGGCACTTTCGTGGAAGGTGCGAAAGGTTTAACGGAAGAAGAATGCAAAGAGCTACTTCTTCACGCTCTTGGTGATGATGAATATCAACATTTTGCTTAGTCGTCTATCACATAAGAGGCCGCATGATCTTAAATTCAATGATCTCGTGCAACGTCTCAAGAAACAATTTCACGATAATAAAACATTGTTTCAACGTTGTTTCGAAGCTCTAAATTTTCGAGCTTCTGCGCCATTAACGGCAGTAGAAATACTGGATAAAGTAAATGTTATAGGAGATGCCTTTGAGCTCGATAATTTTAACATCGATCAGCTCAAGATTCTTCTGACAGCTCTTGCGCTAAGCGATCACATCTATCATACTGAACGGACAATTCTCTTCAAGGTAGCGTCCGAGAAAGAAAATTGCACATTCGAGGATATTCGAGAAATCTGCTACACACACGCAAATCGTACAGCAGATGTTATACGTGTTGAGGGACAACGTCTCGCAGAGGTTAATGCAGTCAATCAGCCAACAAAAAACACGTCAAAAGGCAAAGGTTCTAAGAGTTATGGGAAAAAAGCGATTACCTTTACGTTTTCGCCCTGTCGTGGTTGCGGTTCCACAAATCATAAACGTTTTGACTGTCCTTTCAAGAAGGCGGAATGCAGAGTATGCAAGAAAACAGGACATATTGCTAAAGTTTGTTTTTCTAAACAGCAAGGTAAGATAAACATGATCAATTTACAAGGTATCCTAGGCACAGGACATCGGCATCGCAAGTTTGCTTACATCTCTATTAACAATAAATCCTTAAAGATGCAGTTGGATACAGGTGCAGATATTACCACTATTGGTAAAAAAATCTGGACACGGATCGGTCGCCTAAAGCTCCAACCTTACACAGTCTCGTGTGTCAATGTTTCGGGTCACACAATGCGCATTAACGGAGTTTTTAATGCCTCACTTAGCTACAAGAACTGTTCGACGAGAGCACCAATCATCGTAATTGACCGCCCGAAACTTGCGCTTATAAGTGCACGAGTGATCGACGAGCTTGATTTGATCTCCTACGAGGAATCATGGACAACCAACAAGCGATAAATTCAATCGTCGAAAATTCGATGCGGAAACAATTTACGGAACTTTTCAGTGACTCAACAGAGGAATGCACCAAAATGACAGTTCATTTACGACTCAAGCCAAACGCTCACCCTGTACATGTTCCATGTCGTCCAATTGCACTTGCACTTGAAGAACCAATCAATAACGAACTCGATAGACTCGTCAGCAACGGAATTTTAACGCCAGTCGATTTTTCAGAATGGGCCGCTCCTATTGTTGTAGCACGCAAAACAAATGGCAAAATACGTATTTGTGCAGACTATTCTACGGGTCTAAATGATGAGTGGCATCCGTTTGACCACGTTAATATTGATCACGGTTCCAATTGACCACGTTACAATTGACCACGTTGATATTGACCACGGTACCGATTGACCACGGTCTCGATTGACCACATCCCGATTGACCACGTTGATATTTACCACGGTTTCGATTGACCACGGTCCTGATTGACCTCGGTTCAAATGTGCCGCGCGCACAACAAGGACCACGCGCTAAGCACGTGCCGCGCGCAGGACGAAGAGCACGCGATAAGTACGTGCACAGCAGCTCAGGTAGTCAAATACCTAACCGCGAGGCGGCGATTTGGGAAGAGCGAAATCTCGCTATTAGAACACCATCAACAACGGTATATAAGGTAGCGAAACGGCAAGGCATAGCAGTTTGCTCACGCTTTCGGGAGCGCAAGCAACAGATCCGTGAGCACGACTCTTTTGACATCCGCCTAGAGCGAGCTAAAAGCTGTTAAACAGCACTTCTACAGATCCGCCTTCACGACCGCTGTCGCCCCGATCACCAGGGACTGACCTACGGCAAAGAGCGGACCAGGAGAACACAAACCGAACGAGCGAACAAACGAGTCCAGTGGTCGCTGCTGCCTTGGAAACTGGAGCCGCTAGAACTACCGGCCGCCATCTTCACACGGACTCCAAGGAGCCTACTCGCTACCTGGGAGGTCTGGATAAGGAGATATACATCACCCTCCTATCCAGGGACGGTACCAGCGCGACTAACACCACCGGCGCTAACACCTCCCAGGAGCGGCTCTAAAAGAGGCGGCAGAGAGGAACGGGCCACTCAGACGGACCGTCGCAGCCTGGTGCATCGCGGCACACAACATCGTCAGCCGCAGACACAGGAGCGGGCAACACAGTTCTCCGACTCCGACTGGGAGGCCACGACCAGAACAGCGGCCACGCAAACAGAGGCCACACACCACAGAGCCTCCACGCACCTCCGGCGAGCTGCTTCAACACCAGCGAAGCCCAGGGTCTCGTCCCAGCGAGGACCATTAAAGTGGACGAAGATCACGCCACAAATCTCGTGGCGAGAAAACCTCGCCACGCGTAGGAGTCGCTAAACGCGACGCAATCGGCCTTTTTCAGGGCCACACAAAATTTAACACTTGTACATATAATTAGCAGAATATATTTATTGTCGATACCTAGAAACGTGCATTCTACCTTTCAATCGACATCCTATCTTTGAACATATACAAGCAACCTCCACAACCACGGTCCCGATTGACCACGTTAATATTGACCACGGTTCCAATTAATCACGTTTATATTGACAACGGTCCCGATTGAAAAACCATGTAACACACACATGCGGGGGGGTGCAAGGGGGGCCTTCGGCCCCCCTCCCGCACCCCCTCCGCCAGTCAGGCACAATATACCTCGCTTTACAACTTGCAAAGTAAATGCCCTAGTAACGACATGTATTGATCCGTGGTCAATCGGGACCGTGGTCAATATTAACGTGGTCAATATCAACGTGGTCAATCGGGACCGTGGTCAATATCAACGTGGTCAATCGGGTCCGTGATCAATTTGAACCGTGGTCAATCGGGACCATGGTCAATCGGAACCGTGGTAAATATCAACGTGGTCAATCGGGACTGTGATCAATCGGGACCGTGGTCAATATCAACGTGGTCAATCGCAACGTGGTCAATTGCGACGTGGTCAATCTCAACGTGGTCAATCGGGACCGTGGTCAATATCAACGTGGTCAAACGGGACGCTCCCCTAAATGTTGCACTCGATGCAGAAGATTATCCATTTCCAAGTATAAAAGATATCATGGCAAAACTTCGAGGAAGCTCAATCTTCTCACAACTGGATCTCTCCGACGCTTATTTCCACTTGAGGTTAGATGATGAAAGCAAGAAGCTAACTACAATCAACACGCATCGAGGATTATTCACCTACAATCGTTTGGTTTTCGGGTTGAAACCAGCTCCTGCGATTTTTCAACGTACTCTAGAACAAGCACTCGCAAACATTCCAGGCATTTTAGTCTATCTTGATGACATTCAGACAATGCGAGCTCCAAACAATGTGAAAGAAGTTCGCTCGTTTTTGGGCTTAATAAATTATTATGGGAAGTTTGTGCCAAATCTTCACCGACTCAAAGCACCGTTCGAAACACTAATCAAGAAAGATGTTCCTTTCGTTTGGACATCAAGGTTGAGAAAAGCGTTTGAGGACATTAAGCGCATCCTCACCGGACCACTTTTACTAACTCACTACGATCTCAGACAAACTCAAATTGTTGCAGCAGATGCTAGTTCAGCATTGGCGGCGTTTTACTACAACGCGCATCAGATGGCCAGGTAAAAGCAGTCTTCCATATGTCAAAAGCTTTAACAAAAACTCAACAAAACTACAGCCAAATCGAAAAGGAAGCTCTAGCGCTAATTACTGCGGTCGAGCGTTTTCGAAAATTCGTATACGGCCGCCACTTCGTGCTACAAACGGATCATCGTCCACTTCTAGCATTATTTAAGACGTCGAATACGAAAAGACTGGATACACGCACAGCAAATCGTTTGAAACGATGGTTCTTCGTTTAATCGGTTACGACTTTGAAATAGAGTATGTCAACACCGAGAAGTTCGGACAAGCCAACGCCCTTTCAAGATTAATTCAAGAAGCTCGTCAAGATATAGCAGATCCAGACCTTGAAGAAGTAGTAGCTACATTACAGGAAGCGGAAACAAAACTACAGCAAATCATCGACGAATCAGTACAGCTCCTACCTACGACAGCTCAACAGGAGCTCCAATGTGCAACATTTAGCGATGGAATTCTCGTAGAAGTCACAAACCGCTTACAAAACGGATGGCTCAAATCCAACACCACAGACAAGGATTTAATGCCATACTATCATCGACGTGAGTATTTAACTATTGTTAACCGCACATTGGTTTCAGACGATAAGTTGGTGATTCCCAAGCGCCTACAACCCATGGTCTTGAAATAATTACATATCGCACATCCGGGTATTCGACGAATGGTACAACTCGCTCGTCGTTACTTCTATTGGCCTGCAATGCATGACGACATTGAGGAATACGTCAAGAAATGCAAACATTGTAATCACACGGCGGCTAAACCAATTAAGGAACCATTGCACCCGTGGCCTGATTCAAAGAAACCATGGTCTCGTCTTCACATCGATTTTGCCGGTCCAATTCACGGACAATGGATACTCGTCATTGTCGATAGCTACTCCAAATTCGTTGACGCGGGATGGTTTTCGACAATAACATCGGCAGCAACATGTCGATATTTACGCAGACTCTTCAGTCGCTATGGACCACCGGAAGTACTCGTTTCGGATAACAGCACTCAATTTACCTCGGAAGAATTCGCACAATTGTGTGCCGAATTTAACATCTTACACCTTCGTAGCCCACCGGGACATCCGCAATCAAATGGTCAAGCCGAAAGGATGGTAAGAACATTAAAAAGCTCGATAGAGACAAGTTCAGCATCGCAACTGGAATCGAAGTCAAACCGATTTTTATACGCATACAACTATACACCTAGTGATGTAGTACCAGACCATAAGTCTTCAGCCGAAGTATTCTTTGGACGCAAATTCAGAACGCCACTGGATATTTTCACTCCAATCGCGAAACCTACGACAGATCTTACTCCTCAACAGGAAAAGATGAAACAACAGTTCGACGATCATCACGGCGCGAAGCCGCGCTCTTTTATTCCAGGTCAGTCGGTAGTAATCCAGCTCTCCAACGAGCAACGCATTTCTGGAAAAATTGTGAAGCTAATAGACAAAACAATTGCTCGTGTCAATTTCGAGGGAGGATTCATTAAGAGGCACTTTAACCAAATTTGGAATCGCTTGATAAACCCACGAAGGAAATCTGACGCTCTAAATGAGGATTTGCTGCCCTTAGATTGGCAGTTAACAGTAGGCATTGGCCTGCTCAACCGAACTCCACGCCTAACACTTCGCAAGTGGAACCAGAGGAAGCTGAACCTCCTAGTAATGAAGTTGAACCTCTTGAACCTCCTGAACCTCCTAGTAATGAAGTGACACAAGTTCCTGGGCCGACTGTTCGCCGTTCTGAACATCTATCACGTCAGTTACAGCCCGACTACAAAACTGTAGGAAGAACTCGTCAATATCGGCAAAAGCATTCTTAAGCGGAAGAGGAATGTTGGGATATCGATGTATCGATATCCCAACAGTTATCATCAAATATTTTATATATTTTCAAGAATTTTGTATTTTTACTTACCGCAGTTTCTTATCCAAATGTCAAATCTTTCATCAGTCTTCCGTGGAAAACGAAACAATTTACAGTTCTCTGACTTGACGTTATTACAGTTTTTGTATGCACATCTGTCAAATATCGAAATGTTCTTTACATTATCGTTTTCCATTTTGATGACTCACGAAAAGCACCTGCAACAATAAAAAACAAATCGGCAACCGCAAACGGAAAACGCCGAGAAAGCACGCTATCTCCGCGAATTTCCGCGAATCTCGTGATTTTATCGAAACTACAATTTCGTTAAAACAGTAGTAGTTTCTTAAAATCACTGCACACACATACATATACACACACACGTCACACTGTTCACAACAATATATTTCACTAAGTACGATAAAAAATCGTAAGATATCGAAAAGCGCAAGAAAGCTCAATAGAATATGTTCTGTGAGACACCGCCGAAGTGGTCACTCGAGAACGCTACAGGCTTGTGAGCTCGCCGCGACAAGCGAAAACAATTGCATATCTATTTCATTGCGTTCATCTGTCTAAGCGCTTTAATTCTTCCAACGTGTGGCTCTTTAAATTTTAAAGATCTTATTTTTTAAAAGATTCTGTTTTAAAGATTCTTTCAAACAAACAAAGTTTGAAAACACAAGTTATTTAATTTTTATAACTTTGTAATCATTGATAATTTCATGAATTTTTTGTTTGAAAATTATTAATTTTTTATTGCCGATTTGTTTATTTTTTCGCTTATTTGCTCACAGAAATTATTCCATTGCACTTTTGCTTGCGGTTTTCAGTATACGATTTTTTATCGTAGTTTACTAAAAAATATTATTGTAAATTTTAACTTGTGCAGCGATCCAAATAATGTACAATTTCTACGAAAATGTAGATTTTTTCGAACAAATCACGAGGTTCATGGGAATTTGCGGAAATTGCGTGCTTTCTCGGCACTTTCGTCCGTGGCAGGCAGTTTGCTTTCGATTGTTGCTGGTGTTTTTCTTGAATAAAAATAAATAACGATAATGTAAAGAACATTACGATATTTGACAAATGTGCATATAGAAACTGCAACAATGTCAAATCAGAAAACTAAATTGTTTCATTTTTTATAGAAGACTGGTAAAATATGTGACATTTGGGTAAATATAGCGAAAAGGGGACCCAGCCCTAATGACCTTGACATTGATAAATGTTGTCAAGAACATAAATCTGAATAACTTTTTCTTCTAATTTAATTGTCGCCCGTTGCTTATTAAAAAGTTATTAACAAAAAAAGTTTGAAATATTCCAAACGCGCGCGTGCGCGCGTGCTTCCTGTCCGTGCATGTACTTTAGGATATTCCAAACTTTTTTTGTTAATAACTTTTTAATAAGCAACGGTTCGATCTGGAAGAAATTTATAGCCAACAGGAAAATAATATGGCCGAATCGCGAAATCCGCACGAACGCACTGCCGCGAACCCGCCGCAAAGCGCGGTAGACGAGGAAATAGAACACAGGCGACGATCCATTTGCCAGATGGACCAAAACATAGCGGAGGCGAATCGCACGCCGCCTCCCGAAACAAATCGCGAGGAAAGAAGAGATGATACGCAACTCTTCAAAATACTAAATGAAATGCGCACAGAAATAAGAGCATTGAATAGGCGAGTAACGCGAGTAGAAGACGCGATTATGGATTTGCCACGTCACGGATGTAACCGCCGAGAGAACGATAACGACGCGTTTAATGCCACATACGGGCGAACCGACCGCGACATTAGAAATCGATGTAGCATTGCTCCAAACTACTTGCCGTTAAAAGAAGCAAGAACAATGATTCCCGAATTTGACGGAACATCGCGACATAAGTTATTAGAATTTTTAAATGCATGCACATACGCCGTTCAAGACATAAATCCCGCGGATGAAGAATCTTTAATCCGAGCAATTTTATATACGAAACTAAAAGGAAAAGCCATGCAGGATTTCGAGAC